AGTGAGGTTGGCTGCATCCCTGTGAATGTTTTGGAGGTCCCTCAAGACCTGGCTTTGTCATCTGGCCTGGGGATCTCAGGGGACCGGAGAAATCTTGAGGTGGCTCCCTTGCTGATCTAATCTCTTGTGTGCCTTATGCTTTTTTAAAAAACTTTAATTTGACTGCTATTGGCATGTTTATTGTTTTTATATTTTTTGCTGTACGTCATCCAGAGTCACTTCTGAGATGGGTAGCCATATAAATTAAATAAATAAAATCCTGTAATTTAAATCTGATTTTTTAATTTCATATATAACAGATATATGACAGATATATATAACAGATATATAAAAGCACTATACCTAGTGCTTTTTCCCTAGAATAAATATGTTGCTTGTATCTCATCTTAAAATGATGTATGTGGCAGAATGATGCAGCTAAGTCAGGATGTCCTTAGGGAGGGTTAAAAATATCAAGATGACATCTGTGACCATGTGATTAAAGCACTGCTCCTTTTTTAAAGGACTGGAGTGTTGATCCTCTGGTTGTGGATGCCATTCTGACTTTCTGACACTCCCCCTGGATGCCTCTGAGATAAGCAGTGCCTATCTTGTGATTTCCCAGACAGACTCGGTATACTTGGAGTTGATAAGCTGTGGCTTGAGAAATAGCACTGAAATAGATAAGCAGTTTCGCACAAGGAGGAGAAGGAAAGTGAAAAGAGGCTGATGAACAGGCAAGAAGAGAGCTGATTGAAAGAGAAACCAGTGTTCCTATCTATGATAGGATAAAGCAACGGGGAAAATCAAAAGAAACTTTTTGCGAACGATGGTTTGATTGGTTGGTTGGTTGATCCTAAGAACCTACAAGGGTTCATGACAGTGTAGATTGGAAAACTTAAGATATTTTAATAGTTAAAAATGTTCAGAAGTAAGGTTATTAACTTTATTGGCACTTACTCCCAGTTGAGGTATATATTGGAATGCAGCTATACAGTACAATTCTGTGCAGGTTTACTCATATACAGTCTCATTGAGCGTTATACCTATTATTTGGGATTGAAGCCTAAATCAGTGAAGTTGGTATTGGAATCAGGGTATGTTTGTACAGCACACTAATACATCAAACATGGTTAAGAAATCACACATCATGCTAAGCCAAAGAAGTCAAATCACATGGCTTAACGTGGTAGCCTTGTTCAGATTATACACTGAAACAGAATGTGGATGTTCAGTTTTAGTTTAGCACTTGTGTTTTGTCAACAGTGCTTTATGCTGAATATGTTGTTGACCCAGCCATGCACATCTGCAGAGAGGGCTAGCAGGTAAATGATGACAAGTGTGATGATGCTATCACACTCACACCCTTGTCTGACATCCTGATGCAAGAATGTAATCACAGCATTTGTGTGACAATGCCATTGCATGTGTGTCATCATTTTGGTTTATTGTGGACATCACTGAACCCAGTCTATTTTTTTCCTTTCATTTGCCCTTGTTAGAGAATACAGTTTAAGAATGAGTTTCATTCCCAAGGTCTGTCCTTAAGTCAAATTTGTATGTAAGGCAGAACAGTGTTATTGTATAATACTGTGTGAGTAGTATTGTGTAGTGAACTCGAACCATTGGGTATTTAACTCAAACCATTGGGTATTTAACTTGAATTTTGCTCCAATAGGCTCCGTTCTTAACTATGAGTCGTCCTTGAACCGGGTGTTCTTAACCCGGGGGCTCCCTGTTCTTGATACCTGCAGTATTCCATTTCTAGCCATGTAACTTGAAATGCCAGCTTTTATCTTGTTTCTGTCCTTGTAATATTCCAGAAGTCTCTGAGATTTAAGCAATTTGATACATTTAGTCTTATTGAAGGGCATTTATATTCTTGTGTATTCAGGGCATGCTTTATTTTCTAGGTTCAAGAAGATCTTCAAGAGTTGAAGGAAAAACTGCGAGACGTCAGCCATGATTGGGAAAGAGTTGATGCTCAGGGTCTAGAATCTGCTGTTGAAAGGGCAGAGAGCAGATTGAGGGTGAGCAGACTGCCACTCTTTCAGTGGTCAAGAAAAACAGTGAAATCCAGATATTCTATTCTTCATACCTTATTTCACTCATTCCAACAAACTTTAATATAAATCTTTTTTCTTTCTCTCTTCCCCCGAACAGAAGCATGCAGAGAAGTATTTAAATGCAGTGAACAGATCAGTACTAACTATTTTGCCAGCTGATAATGAACAACTGTATTCAAGACAGATTTCCAAATGGTAAGAACATTCAGTTTGATTTGATATATATCTTTAAATGGCAGAATCTGGCTGCTTTTAGAATTCAAAGATAGTTTTCATAAACAACCTCCAAACACTGATGTATGAAAATACCTGTCTTCTGTTCCGTAGCAAGGATCGGGCAACGGGTTGACCATATTCACATGACACTGAATAGGTTTGCTTGCTACTGGTGCTTGATTGCTCCTTTCCGTAAGCTCTCTGGTTTGGGACAGCAATCCATGGCTTGTTTAGGTGTGGTATGTCAGAGATTTCTGGCTGGGAGTGTCTCCAAATTTAAAACAAACCACAGGATATTCTCTCTGTCTCTTTCTCTCTTTGAAAGACCTCAGCATCTTGTATTCAATGTGGCAAGGCTTAGGGTGCAGATGGTTCTCACCAACCTGTGTAGTTTTTGGGGAGCTGTGGCCATGCCTAGAGGAGTAAACATGCCAAGCTTTTGTTGGGCAAGACTCTTTCTTGCCTGGACTCCTCAGATTTCTGTTACTGCTTATCTCTGTTTGTCGAACAAGATCACGTCATTTTTCTGGATGAACCAAATAGTCATGGCTTATTTGGCCAATTCCATATTGGTTTCCCCTACTTTTTTTAGTTGCTCTTGCAAGGGCCATAGACTTGGGTGAAGCAAATTAGGAATAAGCCAGGAAACCACAAACTGAAGTACAGTCACATATTCTACCAAACTGTAGACTAAAACAAGAAATTGTGCTTTCAAATTGTGGTTTGCTGTCCTTGAAGAAAGCATGATTTATATTCACTGACTGTGTTTACATGTGGTCAGTCAAAACCAAACTTCATTACAGCTTAGAGTATGTGTAACCCCCAGCCTATATCACTATATAGTGTTAACACCTTTCTCTGTGACTTCTTGTATTTTATCCTAATCATAGAATGTCTTCTTTTTGGGATATGAAAATAAAGCCAAAACTATTTTGCATGCTTTATTATTTCATTCTCTTCCCAATTTAGGGGAATCCCCCTGGAGCCTTCTCAGAAAGAAATAACTTTCCCAAAGATGCCTGTGATTGTCCCTCCTGGTGTTGCAGCCCTGCATTCATCCTTAGGCTCAAAGGTTTGAAGCAACTTACTCCTTAATCTTGCCAGTGGATTAACTTCTGCAGTCAAGTTATGTCCCCAAGTGATCCCTCTCCAAAATGTTCTCTTATAGAGCCTCCAAGGCCAGGCCTACTTTGGATTTTGTTCTGCAGAGCAGAAAGTGGATGGTGGGGTGGGCTCTTCCTTCCCTAATGGCAAGAGTTGGAGCCATAACGTTTATAATGATGGTCTGATCTTTTTGGTAATCCAAGATGGCTTACCTGCATGTCTCCCTGATTCTCTCCCCACTGCAGCATCTCCGTGAGATAGATTGAGGGAGAGCAACTGGCCCACAATCTCCTAGTAAGCTCTGCCACAAACTGGGACTTAAGCTTGAGACTCCCCAGTGCAGTGTAATATAGTGGTTAAGGTGCCAGTGCAGTTACACCAAGAACATAAAGTCTTGGGAAGGATCAGCACAGGTAGAGGAGGAACATGCAGCTATATCAATTTGCCCTGTAGGTTTAAATTCCTTACATTTATGTACTACCATGACTAGAAAAGTTGAGTTTCACTTCATAGATGTCAGTGACTAGAGTGTTTTCTTTGACCCTGTGACTACATAAGCCCATCGGTCCTAGGAGGGGGAGTAGCAGCAGCGGCAGATAGAAAGGATGGCTGAAGATCAGAGATGGTCTGTGCACCTGATGACGCTGGGCTGAAAAGCATGCAGGGCCTCCATCATGGATTCCCCTTCACTGATCTCCCTGCCACAGTACAGCAGTTGAGTTCAAGGAGTAAGGGGCTTGAACTGGCCCATCCAGGGTTCTTTCAGGACATATGTGCTGCTGACCCATGAGAGTGTCCTAGTAACTGCCCTTGGGAAAGGAAATGGAATCCTGTGATCTTTGGCTCATTGGCAAGATTTTTTAATTATGAAATAACTGGGAGATCCAGCTGAGAAATAGAGGCCTGTTACCTGTCCTGAGTTTCTGGGCACAGGACAGGTTGGAAATCTGTGAGAAGGCAAATACAGGCATAAAGCATTTCACAACTTGAAAAAGTTTCAGTGAGGCCCATTTTAGTAGATCTGCATTCCTATGCAGATCCAGGTTAGGCCTGAAACTTTGGTGGCAGGTATTTTGCCTTTGAGCTTGAGAGCCAGCTATAGCAAATTCAGCACAGCTTTAAGAGGATGCAGCCATGCTTGTTCCTTACCTGCCAGCTGGGGAACAAACCTGTGACAATTTTCAAAGTAATCTTTCCAAGAAAACTACTGGGAGAGATTATTGCTCTTGATACAGGTCCAAATGTTTTGCTGCCTCTCCTTCGGCACAGCGAAATCACACATTCTCCATGAAAAGCATCTGCTTTCACATTGGGATAATTTATATCTTTTGTGCTAACTTCTGAGGTTTCTGCTTTTAAAACAGAAAGCATTATATTTATTGAGTCATGTATGAGCTTATTAAAAAATGTTCTCTCTGTTCCTGTGGAATTTCCTTTCACAGTCCTTTCTGACGATCAAAATACCTGGATTTGTTGCATCCAAATAATAGCCAAGATGTCACTCCCTTTAGAATTTGAATTCCCATTTCTTTAGTTATTATTGATTTTTTGGCTCTTGTTCATTTTTTGTCTGCCACTAATGATAAAATTTTGTGTCCACAAAACTTGCCTGACAGCAGATAAATTCGCACGGGCAGATTCTGTGAACGTTTATTAATCAGCTACTCAGTTACATGAGTACAGGTGGTCCTCACTTAATGACCATTTGTTTAGCGACCATTCAAAGTTACGATGGTGCTAAAAAAAGTGACAACCAGTGCCTGAAGTTACGACCGTCATAGTGCCCCCACAGTCACATGATTGTGATCTAGGCGCTTGACAACCAGCTTGCACTAAGAGTGTTGCAGCATCCCAGGGTCACGAGATCACCATTTGCAACCTTCCCGGCCAGCTTCTGGCAAGTAAAATCAGTGGGGAAACACTTGATTCACTTAATGATCACACGATTCGCTTAACAACCATGGTGATTCGCTTAATGATGCCACCAAAAAGGTCATAAAATTGGGTCCAGTCACGTGATGATTCGCTTAACGACTGCATTGCTTAGCAACCTAAATTCCAGTTCCAATTGTGGTCATTAAGCGGGGATTACCTATAGTAACAACTCAGTTGTATGAGCATTGCACAGCTGTATCATTTTGAATGCATTCAGGTATCCTTGTTGTGATTACAGTTCTCACTGGCAGGAAAAACATTTGGGCAGGCCAAAAAGGAACAAGATCTGATTTTTCAATTACTTCCCAAGTAAAGTTTTTTACTTGCATGACCTCAGTAAACTAAGAACAAATTGGAGGGACCTGTTTTGGTTCATTCACTTTGAGTGAGTTCTTAAAAATGTTAGAGCCCAGAATTTTTAGCAGTAGTCTCTGGCGAGTTTGGCAGGACCATTTGCAGTTGCTGATGAAAGCAGATTTCTGCTAAACCTACTGCATACATTGGAGAGTTAAGAATTAAGAAAAAGGTGGCATCAGGGATGGAGAACTGCTGCTCATTCATGCTGATCTCTCCTTTGTTACCCCAAGCTGCCCCCCACCTCCTGTACCCTACTGTTGAAGAACAGTTTTGTTACAGAACAGGGAGTTCTAATCTTAGCTGTTACTGCTGGGACAATGATTCCTGCTGGGATCCCAGATAGATAGAATGCTTTGCTTTGCTTCATTTTGGAATGTATAAACTGCTTCAGTCAAGGTTATTCTAAGCAAGGTACAAAAGCAACAGCTGCAGTCAACACAATAATAATAAAATATAGTTAATATACCATAAAAAATACAATATATAATTATTGTTTAACATTTATAAGTAATACACATGGTCCTCGTTTAGTGACTGTCTCGTTTAGTCACTGCAGTCATGATGGTAATGAAACAGTAACGTTGCAACCAATCCTTGCATTTATGACCTTTGCAGCAAAGGAAAACTGAAGTAAAATCGTAAAAATCGTGATGTTTCACTTAGCAACCACTTCGTTTAATGACCAGGTTACTGTTCCCAACACCTGTATAACACTCTTGGCACTGGGAGGTCTTCAGCTTTCAAGTTCCAAAGGTCTTCTGCAACAGCCACATTTTTATGAGCTTCCAGGGAGTCATGAGAGTGGGACAGGTGGTTATTTAGAGGAAGTAGGGAACGCTGTGTAGGTGGAACATATGTAAGTGGAATATAGAGGGTGCATGAGAGAAGGAGAGAGAAGGTGGGTGGCCATGGCTCTGTGAGCGTGAAAAACATTTGGGGTGGTTGCAATCCCAAGAGCAAGAGGAAGGGAGCGTGTTCGCATGGCGTCTTAAATCACACTGGCTGTTCTTATGAACTTGCAGGCTGCTTCCTCAGGGCTATCCTGCATGGCTCCTAAACCATGGTCATTATCTTTCTATAGTTAAACATGTCACTTGAACCCAGAGTAGTTGCCATCTCTAGGAAGCAATAACCAGAATTTAAAAAAACAAACAGTTGTTTGTTATTTTCAAATTCCAGTTAGAGGTAACCAGAAATAACAACCATGCTAAGTTTGGATGACAAATGTAACCATAGGAAAAAACACTGTGGATAAGGTCACCCAGGGTGGAGGTAAAATGATGGGACAGGCGCTCCCCTTAGTTTGCTAGAGTTGTTTATTGTGCTTCATGAGCTGTCTCAGAGTGATAGCCACAGTTGATTTGTGGCCCACAATGTACTGTTTCTAAGAAAATATTGCACTTAGTTGGGGGGGAAACATTCTCCCCTGTAGACTAGGATTTTCTGGCTGCTGCAGTATTGAGAATGTCATCTTTAGTGTTTAATAAAAAAAAGGAACACCCTAACTCACCCACAAAGATGCAGAAGGCAAGCTTATTGCATGTCATTTGTAAACACACTAACTCCTGCACTCTGTACATACTGTCGTCTTGGGTGTCTCCTTCGTCCTGGAGCGCCTTCAGCTGAGATCTGTAACCTCAGTCTGGGCTTCTTTGGAACATTGAACAAGGACGCCCAGGCCACACATGCAGTCCAACACAGTCACTTTCAGACGGAGAGAGTTGCAGAGCTGCACAAACTTCCTGCCCTATCAGCTGAAGAAGTGGGCTTTTCTTTGGCCAACGTGAAGATGGTGAAGGGCTGGAAGTATCCAACCTAGCTATCCAAGGACATCCGAGAAGAACCATTGGGGCAGACACTTGGAAACGAGGAGGACAGTGGCTAGGTGCATGGTGCATCTAGGGCAGAGAGGCATTCCGTTAGGTGCATCATGAGAGCCTTCCTCTCCCATTTATACGGAATCAGGCTTTTCATAGTAGATAACAAGGAGTTTGCATTTTCTCCATTATGAAGTTGTTTGCACTGCTGCCTATAGATACTGTGCTGCTCCAGTTGACCAGGGAAAGCACTGCGTTAGGGATGCTAACAAGGCTGGTATAGGGTAAAACTTCCAGCATTGTTGTTGCAGAGAGGATGTTTTGTGTTTCTTTACAGCACAAGCTGTCAGTGATGATGAAGATTCTGTGCGATCCAAGAAATGCATACCACCGGAGTGTTCTGAATCAGAACTATGGTGTCAGTTTGCCATTAATTAATCGGAGGAAAACAGTATCTGTAAGTAATCAAAAAGGTATTTTCATAGCTTATTTCTTGCTGTGTTTCTTGCGTCTGATTTTTCTTCAGAACAGTTGAGCCTTAGCCACTCTCTTGGGCAAAAAATCTAGCTCCAACATTATTCTGTTTCAGGAAGTTCAGCCCCAGAATATTTTGTGCCAGGAAAAAGCATTGTTGGACTAGTTCATACATATATCTACATCGCTTGATCTCTTTAGTGACTCCTGGTGCCTGGCTGCTGAAGGTGTTAATAGATTATGTTAGACAACTGTGTATTTGAGGTAAAGAATGTAAAATTCTAACATCTGTGATAAACTGCCCATAAATGCCAATGGCCACTTGCTTGTGCAATTAGCATTATTACTTTTATATATAAACGTTCAGTGAATCTTAGTGTTTCAGTGAGATTCCCACTAAGTTTACTGTGCTTACCAATCTTTGGCTCTATGTTTACAATCATTGGATTTTGTTTCATATAAGTGTTCATTACCTTTTAATTTATAATTTAATTTTTATTTTATTTAAATGGTTTATTTTATTTTATTTTATGCATTGAAGCATTTTGTATCACTTTTTGGTCCTAACAAGACCTTCCAAAGTGGTTCATACAAAAGTATAAAACAACATGAGAGCACAAAAATGAAAAGTTTTAGATCAGAGTTAGAGCTTTCAGTTTAAAACTGTGCCATGCCAAGTGGAATAAGAAGTTCCTCTCGCCTGTCTGAATGCCTCGGGGGCTGGCGGGGGGGGGGGGTCTCACCTCCTGGTAAAAGCAATTCCGTAATCAGAATGTGATTGTCACAAAAGAAACATGTTGACTCTGGCTCATGCAAAAGGGCCTCTGAAGATGAATTTAGCCACCTGGCACATTCACACAATAAGAGATGATCTCTCAGATCTCCTGGGCTTTAGCTGCTTAGAGGCTTGATAAATCAGCTGTAGCCCCTTGAAATGAATTAGAAGCCCAAGAAGTTATCCTAAGGTTGTGGGATCATACCCTAAAGAGAGCCATCTGACTGCTTCATGTTGCAACAGCTACAGTTTTCAAACTCTTTTTGAGGACAACCCCAGTTGAAGCCATTTGAACTGGGGAATGAATATACTCACTATGGCTGGAGGTACCTTTTCCAGGAGAGAGCACATCTGGCGCGCTCATCCGGGCCACTCTGGGTCTTAGCGGGCCCTCGCACATCTTGGAAGTACGTCCGATCCAGAAGTGCTGATCCTCAACTGTGAATCTGAACCTTCAGAGGGCGAGGGTCCCCATATAGAACAGACTCTGCTCCCAAACCCAGATTTGACAATACTCTGGCCATGCATTCTTTCCAGCTTGTTAGCTCAGATCCAGTCTTTCCCAAGCGGCATCATGGGACATGTAGAGAGTTCTTGCAAGAAACAGTGGGGGACAAAGGAGATCAACCTGGATGCATCAACCATTTGATGCTCTCTTAAAAAAGGCTAGTCAAGTATATTAATTACTGTTACCCAAACATATAGCTTAGCAATGTATAAAGAACGATCTGCAAATGATATCAATTACACATAACTATGATATAGAACTTAGCAGCACTTGTGAAAATGTAAAATTATGTTAATTACAGGCAACGAAAATATACAAATTAACACTATTAATTAAAATTGCATGCAAACTTTGTTAATTGCATGTAATTAAACGTATAGATTGGTGTTTGCGAATACACAAAATTCTGTTAATTACATGTGCCTAAATATGCAGATTAGCTGTGTTAATTAAAATAGCATGCGAATTATTTTAATTGTGTGCATCTTAGAGTTGCAGATTAGCTGCAGGCCCCTTAACACTTTCTCCTTCAGCAATTTCTGAGTTGCTCACCTCTGTCAGAGAGCAAAATGCCCATTGAAAAGGCCACAAAAATAATTCTCAATAATTGCTGTGATCTCAAAGGAGCTTTCCGTCATTTTCATGTTCACAGAATTGTTGCATAGCCATAGACTTATACTGGTACTTGGGTCCCCACCTTCAAATAAATAAATAAATAATGCAACACAAACTTAGCTCCTTTTCATTTATTCATGAGGAAAAATTTAATGCCTTTGCGATCCCAAGTTTTTATGAGTTGCTGTCTTCTGCTGCACGTTTAACTAAGTTCTTTCCATTGTTCTTTCTCTTGCTTTTATCCTCCGTGAAGCTGTAGGCTTCTCTGTGTGTCTGGACTATGCCCTGCTTGTATCTGAGTTACATCTGTATGGGAAAGGTACATACGTTCATTCTTGAAATGATGCTGTAGTAGTAAAAACCATTGTTTTTTTTTCAGATGTACTGCAGGAGGGACAAGAAGGTGTGAGACCTTTGGGGGGTGGGAGGAGAAGCTCCAGCATATGGTTTCAATTACAAAAAGAGAATAAAAACCATAACATTGGCATCAGTAGTGGAATCAGACTTAAACAAATTGATGTTCCACTGCAGTAATTTGGAGTACGTTTGCTGCATTTATAAAAACACATCAGAAGACAACAGCAAATTAATAAACTGTCCTTCTCACCAAATATAAGAAAAGGAATAATTGGCGAGATTATTAAGCGATCAGATGACTACATGCAGCTTCCTCTCAATCTAGGAGTGGGAATGTGAAGGTCACCTCTATCCTTGGATGACAGAGAGCGTTTTGTTGGTAAACAAATTAATCTTTGGAAAGGTCACCATTTGTTTTACATTTTGTATCCAGTTCTTGTCATCTGGAATCCAAGATTGACTGTCATTCCGCAAGGTGGCGTGCAGTTGGGGCGGCTTCTGCCCGTATCAGCATTCTTTGATGGAACTCCATGCCTGATTGAGATGCTATGGGCTGCTGGCTTACAGCTGTCGCTGGACAAGAAGGGAGGCCCAGCCCGGAATTCCAATAAGCAGGGCTGTCCAATCCTGCTTGGTGGAAGCTGGCCTTCTGCCCACAAGTAAAATGTACAGCAGTTTGAGCCAGCTATTATCTAGCCTCCTTCCTTCTGTGCTGCTTCTGTTCTGCCTTCAGAAAAGCACTGTCGTCATGCATCTCTTCTTGGCCACCCACCTGGTGCGGTAATTTGAGACAGGTCGGCTGGGAGGAGAACCTAAAAGAGGCTTTCAATTAGAGAGGCTTCCCTAAGAGTCGGAATAGGCTTCTACCCAAAATGGGATTGGGGCTTTTGATAGTTCGATGGTTAACAGAATGAACTGCAAAGTTTCTTGCTCAGAAGTCTAGACTGCCTTGAGCCATCTTTTCATCCTCTCCTCGCTAATCAGAGTGGGTCTGGTAGCATCTTTTCAGACTAACACATTTTATTGAAAGGCATAAGCTTTCGTCAGCTACGGCTCACTTCGTCAGATGCACAGAGTGGCTAGACTGATGTTGAATTTAAATCGGGGTGAGGCCAGGCGGTGGGGGGGGGGGGAGATGCAGATTCAGGTTACATGTGAGACAAATTACAAGTATCTTATCAATTAGCAATTGTAATGTGTTAAAAGCCCATTGTGTTTGTTGAGATGGCCTGAAACCTTTTGATGTTTGTAAGTTCAGCAATCTCTCCACTCAATTGTGCTGGTAAAATTTCTTTGTTCCAAAAGAGCTACTTTGAAATCTGTAATGGAGTATCTTGGGAAATTAAAATGCTCTGATACTACTTTGTCCTAGTTTTGAGCTTTTGTGCCAGATTTGTGTCCATTAATTCTTTTGTATACAATCTGGCCTGTTTGTCCTGCCTAGAATCCAGAGGGGCATTGCTAACAGATGATGGCATGCATCACATTAGAGAGAGAAGTGTGGAAGCACCTTTAATCTTATATATGAAGTAGCTGGGACCTCTGATCGTGCTGCTGGTATAAATGTAGAGGCAAAGTAGATACCTGGGTTTCCCTTCCTTCCCCACCTCCTCCCAATTTAAAACCTGTAATAGTTTAGCTACTCCACACATCTGTAGTATACTAAAACTAATGCCTGTTAATAATGTTTTGTTAGTCTGAAAAAGTACTCCAGGTAGTACTCGTTTAGTGACCATAATTGAGACCAGCAACTCGGTCATTAAATGAAGCAGTTGCTAAGTGAAACTGCGACGTGCTTGCGATCTGACTTCAGCTTTCTTTTGCTTTACAGACTTGCAAAGGTCATAAATGCAAGGATTGGTCACAAAGTTACTTTTCATCATCGTCGTAACTGCGAATTGTTGCTAAACAAGGCAGTTGCTAAATGAGGACTACCTGTACTGACCTCCTGAATTTTGGCTATCATAGACTAATACAGCTCTCCTACTAATAACAACCTACTATATGGTGATTTGGAAGAAACTGATAATTTATGTGGAGTACTAAATATCTTGGGAAGGGACCAGATGCTTAAGTCAGCAGATGGAGAAAAGTGCAAATAGTTTCTTAAGTGGTTAAGTTTATATTAAATGCCTTTGTATATTCATATTTTGCATTTCTTTTATATTTAATAGCTTCAGTGCCCACAATTAAAAATCTTTTCACATGAAGTGACAAAATCAAGTGTCTTTTTTGCCCTTAAAAAACATAAAATAGTTAAAGAGTTTCATCACAGATGGGAAGTGTTTTTGTTTTTGTTTGCTTGCTTTCTGGCATGGACTATGTATTTTCCATGTGTCCATAATTTTGCAGAATCATTTCCACGGGCCACTAGTAATATGAAGCCATCATCCAGCTAATTTATCAGTGTCACTAAAGAGTAGTAACCGAAACAGCCATACATCTGGAGCCAAATGTTCTGCTTCTGTTCCATCCTCAGAATCAATCTGATTCTAGAGAAAACTTGTGGGTTAGTTGCTCAGCTGTGAAAGTCAAATGTGGACAATGAAATGGTCTTGTGTGTGTGCACATCCGGTGTCCATTTGCCGTTCTGCAATCTGCTGGATGCCTCCTTCACCTCCTAAAGTTGTTTTGCCTCAGTACTGTTTTGTTCCTAACAAAAGAAAAACAATGAAATGGAAAATCCTTTTTTAAAAAACTGTTCAGTTTAAATTGAACCATAGAAAAATAACCATATTGAGTGGGACATTTTTATCCACAAGAGAAATGCACTTCAAAAGGACTAATAGAATTCTTTTGTCTCATGCCTCAAGTTAATTATACAGAGAATTGCTTGAGATAAAGAGAAAATACTTCTGCAGCACATTTCAGGCATATTATGCAGAGTAAATGTTTGCCGGCAGCCCAAATTAAGATCTCTGTTCTAACCTTTGAAAATTGTGTTCTGATGTAATGTTTCTCTTCACCAAAATGTTTTCATGATATTAGACATGTCCAATTCATTGCCTTGAAATGAGTCATTTGCTTCAACGTTGCAGAAGTGTTTACCCTGTGAGCAGGACGCGTGATTTTGTCCAGCGCTTCCTGTTTGGTAGGCTCATCTGAGGCACTCCGTATGGTCAGCCAGCTCCCAAAAAAATGGTTTCTTGTAGGCATACCTTTCTGGAGGAAATCCAGAAACATCCCCATGATGATTGACATCATGTTAGAATAGACTTGAAAGGGATGCATCTGGACTGTCAGTTAACTGTCCGTTTATTGCTGGAACAAAGAGTAGACTTACCCTTGTATTTTTTTAGCTTCCTCTTGAGGGATAGTGGGATCTTAAGTTATATATTAGATATGTCTTACAGTAGTAAGCTTAGCCAAGGTTTCTAACAAAAATAGCTTTTTTTGATAAGTCCAAAATAAAAGTGAAAGAAAATAATCATTATACTAGCTGCTCAGTGAAGAAGCCAAACTGCTAACAGATAATAAAGCAAAGGTAGAAATATTCAACTCCTATTTTGGTTCAGTCTTCTCCAAACCCCCTCCCTCCCCACCATAGTATCCTCCATAGGAAATTATGAAGAGCAGGGTGAAGGGGCAGGATTGAAGTCTGAGATTGATAGAAACTTGGAGAAAGAATCTCTTTACTTGGAATGAAGTTAAATCTCCAGGACTAGATGAATTACATCCTATGGCACTGAAGGAATTAGCTGATGGTCTTGCCAAACTCCTCTGTAAAATTGTGAAGAACTGGTGAAATCCCAAGTGATGGGAGAATAACAAAAGTTGTCCCTACCTTCAGAAAAGGGAAAAAGGAAGATCCGGCAAGCTACAGACAAACCAGTCTAATACCTAGAATGATTGTAGAACATATCAAAAAGAGGATAGCCTATGATCACCTTAAAACAATGTGATAATTACCAGTATAATAACAAATATTGTCAGACTAATTGATAGGGCAACTCAATAGATTGTGGGAATGCTGTAGATTTAATATATCTTGATATAAGCAAGGCATTTAACAACCCACTGATATGCAGATTAACAATTATGTAACGGGTGGATGGCATGAAAATTAAGTGAATATACAGTTGGCTTGAAAATTGCACTCAAAAGATTCTCATCAATTTGAAGAGAGATCAAGAGGAGTGCCACAATTGGTCCTCTTCAATAATTTCATTAATGAGTTGGATGGAAAGGTGGAGGGAAAGCTTATGAAATTTGCAGATGATACAAAATTGGGTGGATAGGTAATATAGAAATAAAATTCAGAATGATCCTGATAGATGGCCTGAAAGCAACAGAATCAATTTCAAATTCTTCATTTAGGAAACAAAAAACAAAATGTACAGCTGTACAATGTGGGAAACCTAATCATGATGGTTCTTGGGAATAGTATTTGACTGCAAACTAAATATGAGCTAGCATTTTGATGTGGCTGGAAAAAAGGTAATACAATTTTGGACTGCATCAGCAGAAACATAATTTCCAAAACACAGGAATGAATTCCACTCTATTCTGTGTTGGGCAAACTCTGCCCCAAGTTCTGTGTCAACCTCCGAACCGCACCACACTTTAAGAAGGATTCACAGAAACTTGAAGAGTTTCAAAGAAGGACAACAACGATGATGAAGACCATGGAGGCTTATCAGAAACAGATTGAAAGAGCTGTGTATGTTTTGCCTTGAGAAAAACATGACTGAATATGATAGCACTCTTCAAATAGCTGAAAGGATTTCACATAGAAGATCAAGACCTGTTCTCCAGAGTGGTGAACATGAAATTGTGGATATAAGTGACAGAAATGCACTTTATTTATCCTGCCACAATCTTGTGACCTTCAGCAGTTAGTGAAGTATTCATGAAGTAGTGAATAAGCAAATTTTGCAACTATGTTTAATAGGTTGATGAGCATTCACACACACAACAGTAACTTTCACCAGACCATCACAAGAGATCTAAAAAAAAAGAAAAGGTTTGGGTTAGAAGAAAAAATGTGACCTTAATCATTCAGATTTTTCTATAGACAACCATTTGGGGAATTCTTTGTTTAGTCATTTATATATTCCAAACTAATTGACAAAGATGACTTAAAAAAAAATCTGATTATTACATAGTGGATTTCCTGAAATATTAATTAATTCTCTTCTAAATTACATTAATTGCTGATAGAGCACCATAACATATTGCACATTGCTAAGCAGTAAAACATGAGCTTGTGCTGATTTTTTTTTTTGTGGTTATGACATAATTTTTCCTAGCAGAAATTTAGACATGAGTAGTGAAGAGGTTCTTACTGTCAAAAAGGTCAGCAGCTGAAAAAAGAAATGCTTCTCTCTTTAGGCACCAAGGCAGAAGATAGCAAAAGGTGTGACAGTCAGCAACCTTTCAGTGGCTCCACCGTCCTTCCATTTGAATAACATTCACTCTGTCTTGCCTATTTCTCACCAGGATGCAGAGAAAGGTCAGTCACAGCCTCTTCTTCATTCTGCTGGGGCCCCATTTGCTATCTTTGCCTTTGCAAATATAACATATTGGCCATGGAGACTATTAGCCTAGACCACTGGTTGGTGACTGACTGGTACTGGTTGCTGTTTCTCTCTTTGTTACACATTGTAGATCTGGTTTGGGCCGTGGGCTGAGAAGTACATCTGGTGGCTTGTCATAATTGTCTCCTCTCCTGCCTGCTGCTGTTTCAGCTGGAGGAGGTGGAAGAAATACCTTCTCTGGTCCAGTCTTCACTCTGTCTCCTCTCTGAGCTCCATAGTGTATGGAAGTAAAAAATGTTACGCCTCCTGGACAAGTTGCCTTTGAAATAACCTGTGGAGCCTTGTCTTTGCCTAGGCATCCTAAATCTAATTGAAAGAGGACTGATCCCACGTGCTGCTAGGATTACTCTAGAGAAGCCACCCATTCTGCCGAAACCTGTTCCTCTCCATGAATTTCAGACAAAGTTCAAGAAACTAGATGCAGGTAGGATCAATCAAGCGGATAGTTCCCATGGTGCAAATAAAAACATCCACCATCATTTGATAAGTGACAAGTTTTCATGTTCCATAAATTGTAAGAAAGGGTGCCAGTTTTTGCAAGGCAATGGTTCCAGCTGTAGAAACTTAGCAGGTCTTGTCAACTTGCTGGAACCATGCTTGTTCATTGTACTGGGTTTATAGGCCACTGCAGTCACGGACAATCCTTTATGGCCTGGCCTGCGCTATCATGCAGGCTCTTTCTTCCATCTCACAGCTTCACTTTTCAAAGTCTGCTTGTTTTCTTGCCTGTGTGGCCAGCATGTGGGGCTACTTTAAAAGCTGGTACAAAAGATGGCGGTGAGTTTTCACTGGGAGTTGGCAGCATGGGAAGACTGTGCCGATTCTGTCTCACTTGGCATTTCCAAGCCCAATTCAAAGTGCTCTTCATTATAACATTCTTCAATACAAACAGGGTGGTGGTGGGGAGAACTGTGTATGTGTGCTTAAATAAAGGCAAAAATAAAAGTTCCTCAGAGCTGAGACCTTGGTATCAGATGATATGGAAGAAGATCTATTTCATAAGTGTCCACCCTGTTCAAAGGACATCTTTGGTGCCTTCCTTTTACTGGTTCCTCCACATTCTGAAATAAGGAAAGGGCCTTTTTGGTGGTGAGTCCTGGGTTATAAAAACACTTCCTAGGAAAAATGACCTGACCTCAACATTGTTTTCTTCAAGAAACTGAGTTGTTATCCTGAGTTGATTTAAAACTGCAAAGCATGAGAGGGATCTGCTCTGCTTCTGCCCACTTGAAGCCCAAGGGGCATTACTTCAGCAGTGCATCTTTTATTAGAGTGTTAATCTCTAATCTGTTGATTGGCTGTGCATTGTGGGTTTGTTTGTTGTTTTTTAATGTAGGCAAGAAAACAGATCTGGCCTCGGTACAATGTGGCTTTTGTGATGGCAGAATTATATTTTTGAGCATTTTGAGCAGCCTGACATTTACTTTTCCTTGAAGCTTTTAAAGTCCCTTACCTGTACCATAGATGGAGCTCCGCAGGGTGAGAAGATAGAAACGCCTGCCCTCCCTTATCAGAAGCCCACCCACGTGTCCAAGTACCAAGGCAAGGAGAAGAAAGGAACCAAGGGAAGCATCGCCCCACCGCCATCCTGCATCTCGGTGGTTTCCTCCAAGAGATTCAAACTGCAACAGCTACTTCAGGCGATGAGACAAAGGGAGTCAGCCACCTCTTCTGTCTGTTTGGTAAAGGTACGAGAGTACACGCTTCTGCAGCATGTAAGACCCACCAGACCCTGGCAGGCCAAGTTCCTGTCACAGATGTCTTTTAGATGTTATCAAATTTTATGTAACTTCAGATATTATCATGCTATGTAAATTTTAGATATCATCACATTTTTGTAGTTTTAGATGTTACCACATTTTATGCAGTTTGAGATACCACCTCATTTATAGCCTAAACAGAGATTGCTCCTTTTGGATTTTACTCATGGGTTCTAATCAGGTTATTTTATAGATGTACAGGTAGTCCTTGCTTACCGACCACTCGTTCAGCGACTGTTCAAAGTTACGACAGTGCTGAAAAAATAACTTTACAGCCCATTTACAACCATTTACGACCTTCATGGCATCCCTCAATCATGTGACCACCATTACAGTCAGTGCACGTCCTGTGCCTGACCTGTGTTTTTTTCTTTTTTTTTTCCTCCTTGCAGAGTGGAGAGATTGGAGAGGAAGGGATTGCAAGAGAATATGCTATGTACTCTTCTCCACATCAAGAGCAATGCGATCGCGCCAGCAGCAGGAAAGAATCAGGCGAAGGAGAGATTGCCTACAGAAATCACTTGCTTTTTTTCTCCCCCTCCCCCACCCCCACAAAGTGGAGAGATTTGAGAGGAAGAGATTTCAAGAGTACTGTAAGCTGTTTCTGTAGCATACCAGCGACTCTCAGCCCTGGGCTGCCGGTGCAATCGTATTGCTTTCAATGTGTAGAAAATCAAACAGCTTACTCTCTTGTAATCCTTTCCTCTCCAATCTCTCCACTTTGCAGGGGGGGGAGGGTTAGGCAAAGGAGAGATTGCCTACAGTAATCGTTTGCTTTTTTTCTCCCCCCCCCCCAGAGAGATTGGAGAGGAAGGGATTTCAAGAGAGTAAGCTGTTTGTGTAGTGTGGCCCGCAGCTCCCGGCCCCAGGCTGTGGCGCAATTGCATTGCTTTTGATATGTACAAGACAGTAAGCAGGCGCTCAAGCATTCCAACGGGCGGGGGAGTGGTTAGGAGGCAAACAAAAGCCAAAGGTATGAAACTGAGTAATCTTATCTCTTTCCAGTCGAAAAGCACAATCACAGTCAATTGATTTCCCACTTAGCGACCACTTTGCTTAGCTGCAGGTTGCAGGTCCCGATTAGGGTTGTTAAGTGAAGATAACCTGTATTTTAATTTTGTCTCCAATGTTATTTACTGGTTTCTTAAAATAGATTTATAGGTGCTCACAGATCACTCATGGACACCCTTCTTGTACTGGTCTAAGACTGCAATAAACTGACTGACTGACTGACTGACTGACTGACCTACCAGTAGCCATTTTAGTACACATTTAAGCGCCTGTCAATTTTCCTGGTTGATCCCTAAGTTAAGGGGCCTGTCTGTCCTTCCTCCCTGCCCCACTAAAGTGAGTTACATGAGAAGACAACATACTTCCACTGCTCATGGGGGGCCCTTCCTCATATCTGTTTCTCTTCTCTCTCTCCTTAGACCCCAGAAGCGATACCAACAGAGAAATTCAAGAATGTGCTTTTGGAGCTTGAAATACCTGTTTGTAAAGGCGTCATTGACTACACAGCGTCTGATCTGCTTCAGTTTAAGCAGCACTGCTGTTTCTTCTGGGGAAGCGTTCTTTCCTTCTTGGAACAAGTGGAGACTCTGATGAAGGACTATGCCGTGCCTTCCGCCATCCTCATGGGGAAGAAAGTGGTGGAGCTCATTCCAGATTTTGAGCTTAACCAGAGAGCAACCCAGAAGGAACTCCTCTCAGTGATAAAGAATGGGTCATCGGTTCAAAAGTTCTTAAGCCAGCCTGGCCGGAGATACAGAGGACAAAATGGCGCTGAAAAGGCAGCCACCAAGATCCAGGCAACGTGGAGGTGCTACAAATTGAGAAAAGCCTACATTGGATTCAGGCATCAGCAGTGGGCCTCGGGCATCATTGCCATCTCTTGGCTCATGCATGTTCATTTGGGGCGTGTCAGAAAGACCCTGCAGGAGTCACGGCAGAGACACCTGGAGAACTTCCACATCAGGGCCAAGGTGCCTCATCCCGACAGCTGCTTGGCCCCTTTATCTCAGCATCACTGGCTCAAGCAATTGCAATCAAATGTTCCTTTTTTTCCCCTATTTAACTCTACCCTTGTCCAAGCATATTTCATGCTTCATTAAATGTGCAGCCTTTGGTGGCTGCAGTCCCCCTTCCCCCCTGAACAACTGCTGCTTTTGCTTTGCAATGTGAAATTGGAAAAAATTCCCTTTGATTTGACTTGGGTCCTTCTTGTCAAAAAAGTATTCAGTAGATCTGGAATAGACATCTTGTTGATTGTGTTTAGCATTGCTGTTCTTAAGAGTTGCTATGAGGAACAGCTTTAGTTCTGTTCTCCCTTTCTTTAGTTTTTCCTCAGTCAAGAAGGCTTAGAGAGATTGAGAAAGTTGAATATTAAGACAGCTGGGGTCTTCAGGTTTAAAGGCACAACACAAAAGAAGAGGAATGAGCCCTTCCAATGTTGCTTGATACCTGTAGAGTACTACCATACTTTCAGTTCTATCAGCACATTATTTTTTTAAATTCAATTTATAATTGCCTTTCCCTCTCAGATAAGTGCTCAAAGGGGCTAACAGAAATTTTAAAAAGAAACAGTACAAAAAAACAAAGTTGAACACTCAAATGCTAAAATCAACCATTTAAAGCCAAGTCAAAGAGCCGTGCTTTACAGATTGTCTGAATGCTAAAAGATGGCTCCTGATCAAGGGTATCTGAGAAGAAGGCCATCTCTTGCAGGCCAGAAAGATGGCCTCTGCCTGCAGAGCATCTTCAAAAGGCCTTTCCTGAACTCTTAATGGCTGGAAAGAAGAGGTAGCCCTTAAGGCAGGCTCCTCAACCTCAGCACCTGTAAGATGTGTGGACTTCAACTCACAATTCCTCATTGAGGAATTCCCAGGATTCCTCAACCAGCATGGAATTCTGGGAGTCAAAGTCCGCACATCTTAAAGTTGCTGAGGTTGAGAAGCCCTGCCTTAGGGGTTTATCCTGGTGTCCGATAAGCAACTGGGGCAGCTCTCCTTAGCAGCCCAGCTGCTGCATTTTACACTAATGAAAATTTCAAGGTTCAAGGGCAGCTCCAGATGTGGCACGCTGCGGTAGTCAAGACAGGGTGTAGCTACGGCATCGATTCCATGTTACAGAAAGACAGTTTGGCATGGTGCTGCCTCCTTCAGCAGCAGCAAATGCAGTTCCCTCGTCACACCTACTCCTACTCTTCGCTCCTTTTCTGTGAGGTCTGTCTCTCCTTCCCCTCCTTGCAACAATACCGTGCACTTGATTTGTTGCACACAAAAACAATCTCCCTTGCCTCTGTGGCAGTCACTACTTTGTCAGAAAGTACTTAAGTTTGCAGACAAGCTTTTAATTAGTGCTCACCATTTCATTTATGTTTGCTTTCTTTTTTTTTTTTCATTCATATTCTGTTAATTAAGTGATCAGCCTCTAATCTTCCCCTGCCAGTAGCTTCATGTAGCCATCTAATTAAATTAATTGGGGAAGATGTTTTAAGTATGTGATTAAATCAATTAATATAATTTATGCCTGGCTTAACTGTACAGTGGGAAAAAGGAGGAGGGGAAGCAGCTGAAGTTTGCCTGGATCGTATCCGCTGCAGGTCCCTCCTGTCACTGATCAATGCCTTCTCTTGATTTTCAGCATCTGGCCGCCAACTGGAATCGCATCAGGAGCTCCAGGAGGACGATTATCCATATCCCATCGTTAGGTATAACGCTGTTGTCGGTGGGTCTATCAGCAACCTCTATTACCCACCGCATTATGACTCCTTGATTGAGTTCAAGGAAGGCCCTTGTTTTATTCAAATTGGTCTCGGCAGGAAAATGTTGTCGACATGATGAGAGTAATAACGCAGGGCCTTCGCTTGAAACGGCGTTTAATTTGGGGATTAAGCAAATAAAGTCATTATGTAGAGGCCGCTATTCAGCGGAGAGGTGATTTGCTGTAATTCGCTTTCATCTGTATGAAATGAACTAAAAAGTTGTATTCTCTCCCCCACCCCCTTTCCCTTTCCTCTCTCCCTCCCCCCAGAAAAACCCCGAGCAAAACCAGCAACGTTTCTGCTTTCCTTTAACAGCGAGGGAATATGGGTTTGCTTGCTTGGGTGCTGTTGCACCAATAAGCTAGAATGCTGTTTGCACCCTGCTTTTAATCAAATGTGCAGTCAAAATGATAAGCTGCATTCTCTGAAATTATTTAGTTCTAATTACGAGCAGATGGGATGGTTTATTTGCACCTTGGGCGCCTCAGCAAAAGGAAATGCTGTGGTGCACAAGAATAATTAAGAAGTTGAATAGTGGGGTGGGTTTTTTTGTACTTAAATAATCTGCAGCTTCATGTTAATTAGCACTTGGGTAATTATTTAATTACATTTATGAATTGGGGGGCTTAAAAGCTGTTTCCCTGTATAGCAGTGGGGATTGCAAACCAAGATGTTTCTCCAAAGGGCAAGCAATACCTTTCTAGGAAATTGCTGAAAACAGGAAGAGCAGCCCCCGTTTTAAAATAAACTAACTGTCTTTTAATTGGCGGAGTGCAGAAGATGTCTCTGTAGAAGATGTCAGAGAGACCTTTCTTTGAAGCGCAGGCCTCTGCGGTCCTTGCTGCGGCTCAAGAGTTTAGGGAGAGCAATTAGCTGGAGCAGCCCTTGGAAGGGACGCAGCTGAGCATCACCCTTCCGGCGTTGCTCTTCTTCAGACATCCTTTAAAGTCTCAGGTGAAGCTTGCAGAATATATATCACGAAACTCCTTTCTCCTCCTCATCATTTTTTTTTTTTTTAGTTTTTACTGCTTTTGATCAACATGCAAGCAACAATTTAGAACATCCTTCATTTCTTAAAATCAGATGTCAGCAATACCACTGCATCTTAAATCCTAGAAATCCTATCTTGGATACAGTAAAAAGACATGGAGGCTTTTCAAGAAGTGAAATGTGTTAATAGTCTAGATATCATTTTTCCTTATGTTACCAAATGTCACTGCAAAATATGCAAAAGCATTAATATCTTTTAAATAAATTGTTGCTCCTGTTTTTGAAGACATTTTACACAAAATTAAAACGATAAAAATATAACTAGAGAACTAGAGTCTTTGGAATACCTGCAGTTTTAATGGATATTTAGTTTCAGAATATATATTTTTGCCTAATCTGGGGAGGACACTTTCTAATTTCAGGGACTAAAATGGCCTTACCTGCACAGCTGAGTTGAAAGTGTCCTGAATCATTGTTCCTGGAAGAACAAACTATAGCAGAAATTTGTGGCTTTCTGCTGTGATTGTCACCACATTTGAGACTCCTTAACTGATGCCACTAATGAATAAAATCACAGATTTTTTTTTACCAAACCTGCAATTATATACATGCTTATTTTGAAATCACATTTGTTGAACCCAACTGGATTTTCCAAGTGGACTTGCACAGGATTGTTAATGACCTTTTTTTCCTTTCAATCAAGATTTTTTTTTTTATTCCCCCAAAGTGTGCTAGACATGTTTACAGAATGTTTTTCTAATTGTCCACATAGGACAACAGCTTCATCTTTAGGCTGAAGTTATACGTGGTGTGATATGCTTCCCAGTAAAAATCTTCAGGAAGAGGTTATCAGGTTTCCTGAGAGTATGAAGTAGTATTTAGGATGTTGGGCTGGCGCTGGTGAGACCCAGGTTCTAGTCCTCCCTCAACCACAAAAGCTCCTCTCTGAGCCCATCCTACCTCACAGGGTTGTAGTTGGGAAAAATGCTATGTACGCTGCCTTGAGCTCCTGGAGAAAAGTTGGGATATAGATCAAACAAGCAAATAATAATTGTTTCCTGGGTCAGATGCTTAAGAAAGATGATACTGGGTACAGTTTTAAAGTACAATATTAAATGGTTATTTTTAGATTATTACAGCACCGTTTGCAAAGGTTTGAGCTTCAGGCCCAAGGGAGGTTTGCCTTCCATAGTAGGTGAAGATACTTCTACTCTGTTCTTCTACCAGTTAGACCATTAGGGGCACTTCCTTTTTCCTCTGGAAAAGTAATTGGCATCATCTTAAGATGGAGACATGAAGCTGGTTTAGAGGCCAAAAATAAAACACACAATGTGGTGCCCTTCACTGCTCTGTGTGTGTTTGCAGACATAATGATTTGATGTCGGAGCTCTGAATAGTTTCATCTTCATTCGGGGGCTGCTTGTTTACGAAGCCCAGTTGCATTTCACATAGCTCAAGGAATAAAGCCTTTAAAAAACTGACTAACTAACTAACTAGCCTTCTCTTAGAAGTGAATGCATGCCTGTTGGGCTAATGCAAACAGTTTGAACTGAAAAAAATAAAGTAACACTTGAATAAATTTGGTGATTAATTATTCTTCAGTTGTGCTCTCTATATGGACCAATAATGAAAATGGAGCATTTCATGAACCTGTATCAAGAGCCTGTGAAAATGAAAACTTTGGGGAAACAATTTGAAGGTCATTTCATGCGCAATGATATTGAAGGGCAATCGTGTTGGTTGAATTTATGGCAGAATAATATTTTGTGGCTTGAAATAATGCTTTCACTGAGATGTTACTTTTGGTTTAAATGACAACATTTTGCTCAAATTAGAAATGCTCTTAAATTGAAAGTTGGGGGTATTCTTAATCTATGGGAATCTTCTCAGTTTTTCTCCTTTTCTGATTATTCAGGACCATAAATAAATTAGAAAGCTTAATAATGGACACAATAAGGTTGTGTCCTACAATTTCCCAAATAAATATGTGCATTTTTAAAATTAATGTGAACATTCTGGTCCATTATTTTTGGATTATGTTAGTATGAAAGGGCTTTCATCAAATTAAAATGTTGGCCTTTAGGGGTGTTACTTTCTAATGATAAGAATGGCTCTGCCCCATAGCAGTTTGTGGGACTGGATCTAACGGATGATTTTGAAAGCTTTTTCTTCTGCCACATAATCCACTAACTTCCTATTTTAATGCTACTTTAACTGCTGAATAAGAGGTCTAGATAGCAATAGTACAAACCTGGGAGAGAGTGCAAGAGAACCTCCTGATCGGGAAACCCAGCCTGGCTCTAGGTCAGTGTTTCAAGATGTAGATCAAGAGTATGGCTGGGGAATTCTGGGAGTTGAAGTCCACACACCTTAAATAGTGGAGGTTGAGAGGCTAAAGTTGCTGAGACTGAGAAACACTGATCTAGAACTTGCCCCTCCTGCAGGCAAAGCTACCCCATGTCTCTTCATGGAGCTCCATGAATTTTGAGTTAAATCCCCAACTCCCATCCCTCTATGAAATGTGTCAGCCTGACACTGGTCTGCTACCGTTTCGATTGTTTGGGACCTCTAAGGTCCAAATGCTTTAGCATCTTGGAATATCCCAGACCCTGTTTCCTGTCTGCTTTCTCTGTGCAGTTTGCCACACTGAGATCTCTTCCTTGTCTTGAGATTGGTCCCCCATCCCCATTAAACACTAGACCGAAGCAGGCAGATCTGTGGTATGGGGAAGTCCATCCCAGTGAAGGGTGCCCTGCCCTGATGGTACCGCAGGGCCAGGAATTATGGCAAAGCTGTTAAGAATGTTCATCCTAGCTTGTTTTCCAAACTAGTTGTAAAAGTGAGACTCAAAATAGACTTATATATATACAGATTTTGGCAGATTTTGCATTTTATGCAGGATCAAAAAACTAATAATCATGTTAGGGAATGGAGGAAATTTTCCCTTGGAGAAACCGTTTAATGTTTTTTCCCACTGTGCTGGTTTGTATCCCTCGGCTTGTATCCACCTCTGGAAATGCCTGAAATACTTTGTCTTTGCTTTGCCTTGTTCTGCGGGAGAACTGCCTTTTCCACCATCCTCTTGCAGCGATCCATGCAAGACCAGTTGTGACAACAACTCATCCTCTTTTCAATGCATTTACCCAAATAAATTCTTCTACCACATGGGAATTTTTTCCCCAATGAAATGTTTAGGAGCAAAGTATCAGAAACTAGGCCCCTTCACTATTATATTTTAAAGGAACCTAGTCTGCTTAAATGGATTCAATTTAGGTTTCTTTTTGATACCATTGTTTACGATAGCTAAACGGAACTTCTGTCTTCAGAAGCATATATCCGGTGATAAATACCAAAAGTAGCTCATGGCAGTTGCCTCCAAAGTCTTCCAGTAAGCCTTTTGAAAGCATTTGTTTGGCAACTGCTGAAAACAAGCTGTTGTGCTAGCTAGCAAGGTAATTTACTTTCCTATAATTAATTTTCAGTTGTCAGGTTTCATTCTATGATCTTCCCCCAAAGCCAGAAATTGAACGGTGTATCTAAAATGTCTCCTATGCTGTTTGGCCAAAATGTATACATTGGGTACAACTTTTCCACGTTTTTAGAGGAATTTCAGACCCATTTCCCAAGATTCCAGAGGCCTTAATATACAATTATAAGGAAAATGCATTGTTTTAATCTTGTTAACAGACCACTCCGTAACAGCACATCAAACCTGCAGTTATTAAGCAGCACTTGGTATTGATTTTCTGACAACTGTTCTGCTGACAATTGATCTTTTTCCTTTGCTTTTTAATGCTAAGTTTTTATGCAATTAGCTTAATTTCAAAATCTTTTTAGATGAGAATAGCCAAAAGTGTTGTATAGAAAACATCTTACAGGAATCATGCAATCACTTTGAAGTATTCTTTCTATATCCCACTCACACATTTCCAGTCCTAGAGAAACGGACTCGCCATCCATCCAGCAATGTGCTTGCAGAAACCCTAAACACCTTATATTGGAAAGGGCCCGGCAAAAGCCTGGCTTGTATTGTGTGCAAAGTAATCCAGATGTCACAGTAATTGCAAATTAAAATGCTTTAATGCGAGAGAGAGAGCAAGAGAGAGAATATGTGTGTGAAAATTCAATTAATTTTGTTTTAACGGAAAGTGTTCTAGTTTTAATTATTCTATCAGGAAAAGACAATCAAGACTTTAAATGTAGATGATTTTAGTATTTGTGATTTTAATTGTCTTAGTTTTATCTTTGGCTTTGTCTTGTATTTGCCATGTTTTTATATTAGCTGCTTTGAACACTATATGAATAGAAAGGTGGGCAATATAATTCAAGTAAAAAACAAAGACATTTGCTCATATATATATTTTAATTTTAATACATATAGATGGGTATGCATCTTGAAATGTAGAATAAAAGTTGTATGTCAATTTATTACAACATTTCTCATTAATAAACAATCTGGATTTATTTGAGTGTGGTATTAGTCATAATATCATTTTAAGATCTAGTGCTATTAATTGCTTTTCATTATGATGTCCCCCAGTTTTTACCAGGTCTTGCTCTTAGAGAAATAATAGCAAATAAGACAGTTAAAATTCATTAAGGGAAAATGCTATGTTTGAACCCGAGGATGCTGTATTTCTCCTCTTTCTGAATATTATAATAAGGAGATGCAATTTTTGTCACTAATTCTTTAAAAGACTGATTAGGATTATAGTAATATGTTTTTAAAATGCTGTGCTTCGCAAGAAAGCATGGCTGTGTACCTTATTCAGAATTAGTCCAGTATATAATTTTTTCAAATTTCAGTTGGATTCAGAACCCAGTGTAAGTATGTTGTGCTGTTTTCCTTCTTTTCTTGATAGATGAATTTGAGGTGGTGTTGGTTGAAAGTAGAGCTGAGTAGATTTTACATTATGTCTTGTTTTTAATTTTTATGGAACATTTCTGAAATGTCAATGGTCAATGGTATTTTTTCTATAAAATGCTGAATTCCCCCTCCCCAGCAGGGGGAAAAAAAAAGCAATATCTCAAGATGGCTGAGACTTGAAGCTTCTATGGATGTGATACGTGTTAATGAATTGGGATGGCTTCTTTCAGGATACCCGCAGTCGATTCGAGAGGCAGATCCAGATTTTGCTGTTCATCAAGGATCGCAGTTTGGAAGGCTGTGTGAGATAAAAGGTACCATTTCTTTCCAGCAGCTGTGCATCCATTGTGCTTCCAAAGCAAGGAGGCACAGTTCAATGGATTCATATTTCTGAGCCAACAGACTATTGCCCCCTTTGCCATTTTGACAGGATTCACATATTACGCTAAAATGTAATGGAGACGTTTGGCTTTGGATTAGCAAGTTGTATGAATCCAGCCCATTGAATCCTACAATTCAGCAAGCCATGGCTTTGCATAATGTACAAACCTAGTTAATTCCTACATAAAAATTACCAGTAGCCAGGAGTGCCTAAAAGATCATTCATTTTCCATGCTTTTCAATATCTACATGAAACCATTGGATGTAATTGTTAGGGAACGTGGTGCTGCGTGCCAAATTTATGTGGATGACATCCAGCTCTACTTCTCCTTTCCATCTTCTTCAAGTGTGTCAACTTCTTTGGGTAAGCTCCTGCATGGAACAGACTGAGGTTGGGATGAAGCATAACTAGCTAGATCTGAATCTGGGCAAGTCTGAAGGGTTGGTTGTCTACTGACGGTGTCCTTCCAGCAGGGGCAGTGGCAAGAGGCCCCTTCTGTGAGCTGTGCATGATTTACCAACTTCCTGGAAAGAGCTGTCCTGGCTTCTGTGATCCACAGGATGTTTTGCCTCCCAAATAGGTTGTTGTAATGTACATTGTGTGGGGATGCCTTTGAAGTGAACCCAGAAGTGCAATGAACCCAGAATGCAGCAGTCGGACTGGACTTCGGTGTTCCCCATTGGGAGCATGAGATGTCTCTCCAGCACCGGCTCCCCATTGCTCCCAAACCAAGTCCAAAGTGCTTGCTTTGACAACCCTGACTTGAGTCCTGCCCTGTTAGGTCACCAGCTGGCAGCTCCATTTGCCCTCGAGGGCCACCTAAGAAGGAGGCAAGGCTAGAAACCATTGAGGACCAGCAGCCACACCAATATTGTGGAACTCTCCCCTGAGATTACAGTCCCTGGCTGATTTGAAGAGAAGCCCCCAAACCTACAGTGCTTGTACAAGTTAGCACCCTTTGCACTTTCAATGAATTGGTATGATGGGTGGATTGGATTTTGTATATTCTTTTATAATTATTTGTTGTTTTATTGTTTTGTCTGATGCTGTTTTAATTAAAAGTTGTTTATTGATATTTCATGTTGGGTTGTAAACTATCACAGGCTGGTGTGCCAGGACTGTGTGAGCATAAATAGTTACTTTGATCATTTATTCCTGTTTTGTAAACTTTCCCATCTAGTTGTTTGGGGGAGGCACTAAATGCAGGATCCCACTTAAATGAAGTTCATTTTGTTTTTATTCGTGGACATTTTTGCTAGTAGGCTATTATTAATAGCAATAGTAGTAATAGTAGTAGTAGTAGTATTCCCCGTACTGCTACAAACTAGTTTCATATACCCAGGGAAACTTTACAGTTGCGCTACCTGCCCTAACACAGAACAAACTTCTTGGTAAACCATGAATGAATTTAAAAGCAGATTGTGTCTCAGAATTGCAGGTGGGCCTATTCTGAGACTAAAAAAAGCCAACTCCCACTTAATGGACCTAAAGGAGCTCGTGGGATCCCAACCCAGGTTTTGTCACTGTGTCTTCAAAAGATAACCTGTGAAAGAAGGAATCCAAGAGATACCCCAGGACTTGAAAAGTAGAGCTTCTGATCAGATCTACAGACGGAGTTCTGTAAAATTTCCGATTTTCAGCTGGGTGCGCCCTGCACTGCAGAAGACCGTCAAACCAAAGGATAATAATTTGTGATCAGTCGCCGCAAATCACATCACAGGAAATTCATAGGGTGGGAGGAGAGCAACTTTTCAAAATACATAATTGATTATGTTTTGAAGGCTTTAAAGTTTTAAACATAAACTGAAGATTAAATATAGATATCCAAGACATATGAGTGCCATTGCGTGTCTTCTGGCTTGTGTAATGTGCTGTCCCCAGGAATTCAAGGTGTAGTTTTCATAACCCCAAAACTGCAGGAGAATGCAAATTAATCTGTTGTACGTTGGATCAGGGTAGCATCTAAACATTATTAAATAAATAAATGGTCCACAGGCATGTGCATGTAATTCATGCATAACTTGCCTCTTTGTGGCTCTTGATAAATAAGCTCATATTCTGTCTTTATTTTTAAACAGAATTCTGTCAAAAAGTTTGTGACCGGATTTCTGAGCCAGTTTCACAGCTCTACAGGAGATGGATGGGTGGTGCATTGCATATTGATGAGAGCTTGTGACTTTGGCGGCAGAGTCAAGTTTCCATGTGGCCCTGTTGGCCATTTAACATGGTGCTCAGTACAAACCCTAATTTATCTTCATGTGCATGTTTGACAGGAAGCCGCAGGGTTTTCCTGACAAGGAGGATATGGAGGTTTTCTATGAATGAGTCCAAAGAGTTTCCAGCACTCTTGAAAGTACCATGCAGGGAGGTGACAGGATTGTGATCACAGGGGTGCTCTGCACTGTGCTGAATACGGCCTGTGAAGCATTATGCACCAAGCTTCCTTGGAAGGACAAAGGGCAGGTGACCTAAACCCCTCTAAAGGAAATCAGCGTAAACCAGGAAGAGTTCCCTTTTTTGTTTTTCTCCTTCACTCCTTTAGTAGAACAGCAAAAAAATATTAATTTGTCAGTGGCCAACTTCGCTGGCTACCCGGAATGACATACTCTACATGATTCATGTATATTTCAGCATCATTATTATTTCATAAATGCCATTTGCACAAAAATGTATCCTCAAAATTTATGGGAGCCTAAAATAATAACTTAATTGCCTTTATATATTATGGAGGCACTAATGTTGTTTTGTCCTCAGTACAACTCTTTTATATTGTAGTGTTTATTTAAGGAGAGATTTGTTACTTCTGAATGAGTTAGAAAGTTAAAGGCAGCATGGAATCATGCATGGAAAGCATGTAGCTTCTCAGACTAAGGAACAGCTTCAGACTTGATGTCTTCATTACATCTCTAGCCCATGGTTCTTGAAGGAGCATCCTAGAAAGTACTCAAATATTGCCTTTTTGTGTGACCATTAAGTTTGCTCTGTCTTTACTCTGCCCCGCAAAATGGACTTAATGGTATATTATCTGAAGATAATTGCAGAGCAGTAACTCTGCTACCCCCAGCATTGTCATTTTGACAATTTTACATAAAGCACGGCCAACTTGGATGCTCTTTACGCAACAGGTCTCTGTCCAAAGGAAGCTGCAATATGATTTGGTATGTCAAAGAAAATGGAGGAAGGAAAAAAAGTAGAAAGCATAATAAACTAAGCTAAGCTAAGAATGAAATATTCTTTTTACAGTCCAGAACAATTTGGTACCACCAGCAAATACCCTCCACTCCCAATTCCTATTATGGATCATTTGTTCATGGTCAAGTTAAAAAGATACACTTCTGGGAGAGAGAGGTGGGGACATTGTTTGCTTTTGAATGGGAGAATTGTTGTTCATATTTTCTGGTTTCTCTGTTTGAGCAAGTTCCAAATACAAAAGAGCAATAACTTGATCGTTACAGTTGCTGAAGAGTCTTTGGTAAAGGATTTTGTCGAAACACTTTTTCAAAGTCTTAAGTAAACACTCTCTCTCAGATCATACATGTGCTTGGTTTCTCTTTACAAAAGCTTTGGTGATTCTTCTTCATCACTTTGGCCTGTACATTTTGAAAACTTTTTTTTGTAGCACTTTTCAACCATGCATCTGAAACAAAGATTTCTAACCGATCAGATTCTTATCCCTCCTGGTTCTCTTTTTTAAAAATGGTGTCATGTTGGCCCATGCAGCAGGGGGTGATTGGGTATGAAAGGGAACCTAGTGATTTTTGTGGTCATCTGTGGTTCCCTCCCTGCCAGAAGTATGTGGGGTGGGCTAGATGGCAGCCCCCATGCTCTGGAATGTACTTTTCCTGGAGGTATGTTTCACCTCCCTCTCTCCTTGCATTTCTCAAGGCCCTAACTGAGTTTTAGGTACCCACCCTGGGTACTTACGCCTGTTGTATTTTTTATACTCTGTTGGGATTTTTTTCTGTTCTCTTCTTGCTTTCTTATTCACTGCCCAGAATCTTAACTGATTAGTGGCCTACAAATATTGTAAGATAAATCAATAAACAAATGTATCGACAAACTCTAAAAGTTCATTCCCTGGCTGCATTATTTGCTTTACCTTTCAAACTCCACTTTTGAGACGTTCTTAATACATGCAGAGAATTCTTCCCACTTCTCAACAATCTTTTAATCCGCCATTAGTTTTCCTTTAGCTTCCTGGTCATCTAGCTTTCAAGATGCGAGTGTTGTGTTTTTGTTGTTGATGGCAGTCGTAATATAGTGCTAGTCATTTTGCGCTTGATTATTCCTTTTTCCCCTTGTTTGGGCAGCCCAGCTGGGTTTCCTAAAGGATCCCTTCCTTTCTCCGCTGCAGCTGTGGATGCCTACTGGCGACTTCTTGGACTTTCCTGGCTTCTCCTTTGGTTGCCTCCCAATTTCAGTAATCTCATCTTGAAAAGAACAGGTCCGCCCCAAAGGATGCTTTCCTCCTTTAGAGGTATAGTCATTATCCCAAAGCCTTTACCCCATAAGAACTAAGAAGCATTTGGGGGCTGTTAGTGCACCCCCAGTAATCATTTCACCAACTTCTCTGTTTTTTACAACTTCTTCAGATCATCTACTTTGATGATGATGATGATGATGATGATGATGATATACCTACTTGTTCTCTAAGAGCCAATACACAAGACAGCCCCATACTTTTGCTGGCTTCCTCCCTTTCTTTATTCCTTTGATCTACCTTGGAAGCTGTGTCATTAACTCCCAAAGAGGAGAGAAGCCTCCTGTTCTGGTCTCCTTGCCAAATTGTTAAGTCATACAAGTGCTTGATTCACCTGCCCACTTATTTTCTTATTATTGTGACGCTTGGTCTCTGGGCTGAGATGCTTTTGTCAGTGGGGGTTCCTCATCTGCTGAAGATCTTAGAATACTAAGTGAATGCAGTCTGGTTATGAATCACCAGCATGATATGGCTAGATAAAAGGCAAATGCAATTTTAAGCTACATCAACAGAAGTACAATTTCCAAATCATGGGAAGTAATCATTCCATTATAGTCTGCTTTGGTCAAAGCCCACTTTAAATACTCTCTCAAATTCTGGGCACCACATTTCAAGGATTCAGAGAAGTTGGAACAGGTGCAGAGAAGGGCAGTGAGGACTAGAAATTAAATCCTATAAAAAGAGATGGAAGGAATTGGGACCACTTAGCATGATGAGAAGAGAGAAGGGAAATATATTAAGATTCTTCAAACACATGAAGGGGTATCATACAAAAAGACAAATATGTTCTATTTTGTTTCAGAACGCAAGACATGGAATAATGGATTTAAGTTACAAGAAGTCAGATTCTGGTTAAGTGTTGGGAGAAAGTTTGTAATGGCATAAGCAGTTCAAGGCAGAGGTCAATACTGTAGTAGGCTTCCTTGTGTTGGAGGTATTCAAGCGGGAACTCAAGAGCCATTTAGATTCCTCCACTGAGCAGCCCCATCCAAGTCTAAGATTTTATGATTCATTGAGCCAATTAAATTAGAGGAATTAGTTTAAAAAACAAAAGGTGCGTAGCTCAATTATTGGACTAGACTAAAGTTTGACAAATAGTCCTTGGGGGTAAATCCAGCCAAAATGAAGCAAACCGCTTTTTGCAGGCAAGAGGGACCACTCCAGACCCAGCAATAAACGTAAACTCCACAGACACTCCGCCCCATCTTCAGGAATTTACCGCAGAAGTTCACAGACCTGGCACGGCTTGATTAATCGCTTTATTGCAGACAAGCTAGAAGGTTGCCTAGTGCACAACACTGAAATCCAACCTTGTATATCTGTTCCAGGGTTTAATTTTAGGCCTTTTGTTCCTGCCTTTGTGTGGCAACAGAAATGTGGCTGTTCTCTTGCTGACCTGGAGCCTGGGAGATACTTGCTCAGTGTTTACATAGCACTTCCACCAGCTTGAAAATCACTGGTTTCTGCATCACCAGCTTCAGCTCTTACATGATCAGGAAACATTGTATTAGGAAGAGTTAAGCTACTTGGGTCTATGCTTCAACCCAAATTAAATTAACCACTATTATTGTTATCAGCAAATATTGCTAATCATATAAATGTATTGTCAAATCTATTTTGGCTGTAACAGTGGGGTTCTGGCCATGTTACCAGAGGGCCCAATGTGCTCACAGGCGCTCACCAGACTCCCTGCTACATTAGGCACCTTACATTTAAAAACTATAATTTTAACCTTAGGAAAGCTGGATGTTATAAGCAAAGTGGCAGTTTCCAGTATTATCTGTATTTCCATGAATTTTTCTGAGTGCCCAGAATGTTGTATTAGCACTTAGGATCCCTCTTTAATTTCAAGATTCCAAGTGTCAATATACCACCTTTTGACAGCATAAGCTGGCTGGGGTATTCTGGGAGTTGAAGACCACCCATCTTAAAGTTGCCAAGGTTGAGAAACACTGGTATAGTCTACTGAACTTCACTTTCAAAGCCATGCAAGCTTCCTGTCAACACTTAAAGCCAGTCACTTAGCTGGGTTTCCTGAGGTTTTATGCTAGCGTTTTGTAGACTTCATTCTGACAACCAGTTGTTTTACAAGTTGTTTGTCTTCAGTGAAAAAGGATGGAACTGAGGCATAAAGGTGGAGTGGGTAAAAGGAATAAAAAGTTAAAGTATCTACTTTCTCAGGATAGCAAATAGAAAACCTCAAGCAATGTTACCTTTTTGTCAATGATTATTAGTGTGTCTTCTTTTTTCCCCCCCTTAAAGATTCGAATGTGGATGTCATCTATATTTGCCCCTTAGAACTAAGTGAGGAGATGCTGCGCTATTACAGCAAACTCTTAGGTCTGCAGCTAGCCGTTCGATCTGGGAACCCCGAGGACATCGCTGACCTGCAGGACAGGTTCAAAATCCTCACCCCTGAAGCCATAAACCGCTTTCCTGTGAGTTTGTATCTTCTAATTACTATAGCTGGGGGGAATGCCGTAAAATTAAATTGGAAATTTTATAACTTGCAACGCTCTGGTACCCATCAGTGAAATATTATTGCAAGTGTTAAGAGCTTCACAGATTAAGTGACTAGTTAAGAGTGTTAGAAATAAAACCCCAGTTGAGTTTTTCAGGCTGAAAGCTGAGCTAAGCTAAGCCCTTCACTGCTGATTTTTGCCCAATGCCTGGCCCCTTTTAAAATGTTGAACTTCAGAGGTTTACAATATTATGGAAAGCAGATTGCACAAAATACTGCTCACACATCCTGTCGCTGCAGTTGTGCAAATAGTTCCTTCACCCTCACTTGTTTTTACGATTATAGCAAAATCCAGTTTATGACTTCCCTTTCTGTGCTCTTGAATTATTTTCCGTCTTTAATTGAGGGGTGCTAGATAAGTAGCAGTTCTGAACCGTCTAGACAAATTTGATTCCCTAGAATATACCCTCTCAGAAGGAAGGGCTCCCTGGTCCCCAAGTGTTTTTTGATGCTGCTGCAGTGCAGAAAAAGTCTTTTATGGCAGGAAATCTGGTTCCTACAGAAATCCCATAAACTCTTGAAGTTGGTGATCTTGGCTATATCCTAAGTGTTGTGTATTTGTTTCTGTGCATGTTTTCTTGAAATATAAAACCTTTTCACTGCAAAATGATTTCTAGGTTATTATTGGGACTATAACATTATGGTGCCACTCCCTACGAGAACTCTGTCTGTCTTGGGCTGTCACAACATGCTGTTAAATTTTGTGCGGTTATAAGCTTGTTTGTATAGTTTAGCCAATTCATGTTTTTTTAAACGGACCTCATTAAATGCATGGCATAGTGCAGCCTTCCAAAAGCTGTGTCCCTGTGATACAAGCCATTTTTGGCCAGGAGGAAGAGGAGAATTGAGGTTCAGAACATCTGGAGCATAGGCTGGAGAAAAGGGATTAGGTTCAGTCCATTGCTGAATAGAGTTTACAAGCTTTGTGTTGTGCACTTGTGCTCTGTGTGATGTAAGCAGCATCACTAACGCAAGTTTATTACTTACCATTGGAAATGCAGATAAACATAGGACAATGTGCATGTGTGTGCATGGAGGATAAAGAGTGCATTTTTAATAACTTGGCTGAGCAGAACATGAATTCTTTATCAAAGAAAGTTAAACCCTGATATTGAAGTTAGAATTGCAAAGTTTATCAAGAATGAGAAATGGGCATAGTAGTCGTGTATGTAAACTTAAAATTAGAGTTCAGTCAGCATAAAATCCAACATAAGAGATTTGAAAAACAGAATAAACTCAGATTTCTTTGAGTCTTAGATCTCGGTAAGATCTAGGTCTTAGATTTACAAAGGAGTGCCCGAGCCCACATCGCCATTCTTTTGAGGTACAGGAACTTTTAGAAGTAAAAGATGAGGTGACATAAACATTTACCTGTTTGTAAAGTCACCAGAGCCCTCCTCTTTTGGATCCCATTCAGATATTTAGATTTTAGCATATGGTGATGTTAAGCTTTTTCTGAAGTATCACTATAATTAAAGGGGGCTGATTTATAGTGGCTTTACATAATATAATTATAATATAATATAATGCAATATAAATGTTTCCAGAAGAATCTGCCCTAAATATTACTGGTGGGTTAGGAACGTGGCCTGTCTTATTTGTTTATGCTGTTGCCAGATCCCTCTACATGTTTACGCTTTTATCCATTTCAATGTATTTGTGTTCTTTCTTTCTATCCCTCCCCTATTTTGGGCACACTTTATAGCAGGACATTTTACAGATTATAAAAGCGATATAGGCTTGCTACTGAATGTATCATTAAGAGAGAGTTTCAGGCAATCACAGATCCCTGATGAATATTCCAGTACGATTTATGTTTGCAAACACACAGTTGTCTCACATGCAATATATATGTTGTAGAGACACACCGGAAATACAATTTGTGAAACGTTCCAAACTTTTGTCTTCTAATTTTTTTAAAAAACCTGAATGCTTCTCTCTATTTGACCCAAAAAATTGTTGCAGAAAGGTTTTGTAGCTGATTAAGCTATTTATCCCATGGAATGGAATATGATACATAAAAGGTGTTTTGTAAATCAAATCGTTTACTGAAGGAGCCATTTAAAACGCTGCTCTTCATGGGCTGAAATACAAGCTCAGCCGCCTTGGTGTGGATTCTTCATTTTTTTGGTATTGATTTTTTTTCCCTGACGTGGTAGAATCAAACTGTGCCAGAAGTGTTGAGATGAATCACTGTTATCCAAGAGCTGCAAGCTTCTCTTCCGAGTGACAGAAGGAGAATTCCGCATGGATCAAATAAATACAGATGTGTAGTAATTAGTTTTATTCCCAGTGAGCCCATTTCCGACACACTAAAGATGTGAGTGATTATGGAACCTCACCCCAACAGCTTTTATCAATTTAAACTGCTACGCTACAGGATAGGTCATAACCCAGCCTGCTATTAATAATGTATTTATTGCACTCAACATTATAAATTAGCTTGGTGGAAGGAAGAGAAAGCACACTTCTTAACGAGACTAATGTCATCCTCATCCAGAACCACCCCATGTCCCTGGCTACATTCTTGAAATACAGCCCTAAAACCATTAAAAGGGTCAAAAACCTGATCCAAGGCAAAGAAGCCTATATTGTTGGAGGCCTTCTGAACCAAGATGACCTGGAAGTGGCCGATGTGCTAGACTTGCCCATTCTCGGCTCTGATCCAGAAGTGGCTCATCTCTACAGCACCAAGTCCGGAAACAAAAGAGTCTTCACCGCCGCGTGTGTTCCGGTGCCCCCCGGGCAGCATGACATCTACAGCAGGCAGCAGGTAAGACTGGCTGTGGATTGGGAGGTCGGGAAATCTGAGGTGAGACTATTCAGACACTCGGGTTTTACCTTCTGTTCTTCTGCTGCCAAAATACCACAGAACTGAGGTCCATTATTGGTTCAGCACCAGCACTCAGCTCCTGAGTGGTCTGTACGGGAGTTACGGGGTCCTTTGCCAGAGGGTTGAAGAGCAAGTCTTCTTCCCCCATGTTTTGACCTGGGTCCGCGGTGCAATGCCCAAGTCACGTCCCTTGGTGCTCAGCAAGCTTCCTGCCCTACCATTTTTCTAGATTTTTTTAATGGAAAAAAATAACGATTGGGCAGCAAGTATTCTACAAAGCAGAGCACCAGCCTAAAACATCTTTCCAGCAAGAGGGCCCTCTGGGCTCCACATAGAGCACAGAGGCAATCTTTGAAAATAAAAATGGCAGGCAACTAGTTTGCCTCCTTCTGAATTTATTTATTTATTTATTTACATTCATTCATTCATTCATTCATTTATTTATTTATTTATTATTAAATTTGTATGCTGCCCATCTCCCCCAACGGGTGACTCTGGGCGGCTCAGTTGATGGGTGTTTTTGATTTGCTGCACTCACCATTGCCATTATTTTGTGAGAGTGCCAACAACATATTCTCAAAGCTCCAAACGTGACCCCGGTCCAAAGAAGCCAAGGGCCCCCACTCTGAGACATTACATTGATCCTCAGCCTGGCACCAGAAGTGTTTGCTTGGAAGTAAGTCCAGGTGAAATTAATGGGTTTTTTCCCCCAAATGACTGCAATGACTGTTGCTAATTGCCAGAGACATAATGAGGGTCTGCACAATAATTCACAATACGTTTTTTCACAATAAAGTTCCTAAACAGTGGACCTGAATCACCCTTCAAATGCATCTGCATACCAGGACCTCATTTACACAATTATTTAAGCAACATGGGTGATTTTTTTAAAATTTCATGCAGAATTTCTTGCCAGACCTGCTACTGTCTGCATTTTGATCAATTCCCCTATCACAATGTGCTTTTATCAATTGGACATCCGATGAAAAGACACCCTTGATAAGGTTTCCTGTCCCCCAATATACTTTCCCAGTTTTATAGGGGGGCATTTCCAGACTGTCAAGAGCGATCTGGGACCATAGCTTGTTCATCATATAGAGTGTATGCTTTGAATTGAAGTCTGGAGGTGGAGGTGGGAGGCTGAACTACAGCAGCAGAAGGCAATGTTAAAAGACCAGGGCCTGAATGTTTTCTACTCAGGAGTATTACACTGCCTGCCAGGCTCAGGGAGATACATTGTGCGCTTCTTTTAATATTTTAGTGCATGTGAACTTTGCTGAAGCATTTGCAGTTCTAAATTGATCAAATTTTATGAATTATATGTATAATCTTATATATGAAGATGGAAAGGAATGCTGTGGAGTATCAATCCTGTTGGTGAAATCAAAGCTAAAAATAGAAACTCAGTTCACAAACCCTGTTGAGCATATGGAAATTAAGTGTTCTAGAGCATTAGACAGAATTGCTGAAGAATTACAAAGGAGCAAAATATAAGTGTAGTGTGGCATCGAATAATTCATTGGAATTGAATCATATAGAGCCTCTGCATGAGTTTTCCTTCCACAGCACTCACCATGTCAGTGCTCCAGGTAAGTTTCCAGCTTCTGCTGATGTCACTCAAATAACGTTGGCTCCTGAAGACAGTTATGCATGGAGGATGGATGTCTGGAGGACAGAAAATTTGGTGTATACAACTCTGTGCATGCTGCTTCCATTTGGACCAGGAGCCCATCTGTGGGAGCCAAACTGGATTCTCTCCTGAAGACATTCATGCTGAATGTACAGATGCTTGCTGGGAAGCCTGTGTCATTAGAACATCATTGGGCGCTTATCCAGAGTGAGCCCTCCAGAATGGAAACACCTGAATGGGTCTCAAATCATTGCTTTTTAATGTGCAGTTCTTCTTACTGGTTTCCAAGGGTTGAAGCATTCTGGAGCATCAGTAGCAATGATGAACAATTACGTTAATGCTTATTTATAACATTAGCTTTTCCAGTTTTAAATCAACTATGCTTTTAAAAAATCTATCTGCTTGTGTTCTAGCCTAGGAAGAAATGCATGCAGAATCGGATTCAGCTAGAATGACAGCCAGGACGGGCAAAAGCAGAGTCCGTAATATAAAGTCCAATGAGTACGATTCAGGATGCAAACTACAATACAGGAAATCAAGCTGGGCCATTAAGTCTCCAAAAGCCAATGCTTGGATGTATTGGAACCCTCACTGGGCAATATGGTTTCCCACCATCAGGTTCAGCCCAAGAAACTCCACGGGACGATTCTGGAATTGCTCAGTTACTTTATTAGCTTGCACCTGCTAGACAGAATCTCACCAGACTA